ATGTAGCGCGCGAAAGAACCAATATACTGGGAGCCGTATTCGGCTAGAGACTGCAGAAGGCTACGTAAAGCAAAAAAAATTGGCTGACGCCACTATGTATTACTTTCTTATTTCTTTTTCCCCCTTTCCTTCTCTTTTATTTCCAATTTAATTGATTCAATAATATATTTAATTTAAACGATATCTATACAAGTTTTTTCAAATTAAAAATATTTCAAATTTTTCAACTTTTTTTTGCCAAATTTATTTATTCAAAATCAATTAATTAAAAAAAAAAAAAAAAAAAATTGTTAATTACAATTGAAGTATCTGAATGCCTGTGAAGGTATCATTGAAGTGAATCAACAGTGAACTTTAGAAACATAAATATTTAATGGTAAAGAAGAACAAGAGAATACGATATGACTTGGAAAAAGTTTTTTAAAACTTCTTGCACAAGAACTGTTGGATTCGGTTGACGTTGGCGTCTAAAACCTGGTCTGGTTTACGGACGTGCCATCAATTCCAGCAAACGGTATTTTTCAACGATAGCCTTTTTGCATTCATTACTCGTTCTCTCTCAAAGAAAGATCGTGCAGCAAATTAGAAAGTCTGCGGCATGGGCAATCTATAGCACGCAGATTTCATCAAAATATATGGGTTGCGTCGGGCATGTATGTTAAGCTTTAATGCCGAGAAAACTCAGCATTGTCCACCATTGCACAGGAGATGAAGGGAACAACATTGCTTTACTTTAGGCGTGTGAATACCGAAGAATTCTTCGGTAGCTCTTGGTATTCCAGGTATGAGAATAAAAAAAGACATCTGTGGGATGTGTATTCCATGAGTCGAAAAGAGCAGTCAACGTTAAAAGATTTTTAATGCGGTGCCGATCAAAATTAGCATATAAATCTCATATATACACGGATGGAAACTTCTAAGTCTTACTGCTTGCAGCGAAGGGCTCCACTTATATTTTTTTTCGGGCAAAATATTAATTTCTTTTCTTGAAACTACGGACGCACCATTTCGTTATCATTGTCATAAGCTTTACTCACTGCAGCCACGATTAATTGATTGAAACAACTGGCAACCGGAGGAGTTAAAGTCAGTATTATTTAGTTGGGACAATGCATTCCATTTGCGGATTTCTAATGTTCCTTCGCTGTTATTATAATATGTGGCCTAATGTTGTTTAGTGTTGTCTACTGTTGACCTATTCTAACCATTATTTCCAGTCGATAACGCTTCTAATAGAAGGTCTTATTGCATTTGTCGTGTGTATGATACACTAACGCACTGTGGTGGAAAAGTAGTGAGAGATGGAGACGCTACAGAATTATCTGGTACGGTATAGAACTAGTTACGACCTCTCTTAAATATCTTTCAAAACTTCATTACATGTCTAATAATTTTTTTTTGGATTTTGAAATCTCCCATAAGATATTAAGAACGAACGAATAGATGGTTAAATTGACACCGAAACCATATTTATAGTGTCGGTTTAGAAAAAGTGCACTTTATATTATGACCAATAAGTAGCTCTTGCATTTTATAACTTGATATATATATATATATATATATATATGACTTTTACTTTCATCAAACCATGTGAGACTTTTTTATATATTTATTGCACACGCACACCTTTTCACTTGAAATGCTCTTCAATATAAAAGTGTGCGTCATTATATCGGAAAAGCTCCACAATTATTATATATAAATAATTGATATAGTGCAACACCTTTGCCTCTGTTGCGAAGGCAAAATGACAAAACTAATGTGCGAGATAAACTTTGAATATTTTCTTAAGCATGGTAAGGCACTCTTTTACATGCCTTTCAGATATCATTTGTGTAACAAAATGTTTGAATATTTTCCAATTGAAATTACTTAACGAAGCAATGAGTTTCATTAGAATTACTTACAAAGTCATTGTCATTGTCTTAAGAGCAAATCTAAATGAAGCCAAGAAATTGTAAATTCTTTTTCTTATCAGCATGCGTTTGAGTTCGATTGTCAGAACATTTCTATCATGAAACTGTAAATGGCCTTGAAAGAAATGTATGTGTCAAGTTATGTGTAAGTTGTTCCAATTTTTCTCTTCATCAATTAAGAGTATCAGCTTTCTCTCTCAACTCGTGTAGTCTTAATAGTTTTAGCAATTAATGTCGATTTCTTGCTATTACAAATAATAGGACGCAAGCATTCGTCCTTTAACTTAATTTAAATTGATAGTAGACTAGCGGAAGGCATGACGTTTCTTCGACCATTATTACTAAACATAGTTTTCGTTCCCTTTGCCCCATAAGGAGGCTTCAGAGATCCCACAAAACATATACATTCTTTATCAGTATCAAATTTTGAATCAATTTAAGCATGTACGTCTGTCCATCTGTCCGTCTGTCTGCTGTAAACAGTCTTGTGGTGTGTGTGGCAAAAATGAAGCTATCGGCTTCAAATTTGGCTCAAAATTTGAAAGTTTTTGCACGCAGGATGGTATCGAAACTGGGCTAAATTGATCGAAGGAAATGTCTAGAGTAACACGTAAACTGGGAACACTTATGATTTTCAAAAGGAATTAAAAAATTCGTTTTCTACTCATTACTCATAAAGCCAGCGCTGCAGTACCTGAACAAAATGGTAAAAATTAACCACGCCTACTTAAGATTGTGTCTTCTGCTCATTGCTTATTAACTACAACACATACGCAATATAAATTTCCACAAAATTACTGTAACAGTATATCAAAAATCAGCAACACCCACACATATACCTTATAGAGTAAACAAATTTTTTATTTATTCATTTTTTCAATCTTTTGTACAACAACGCAGTGATGGGTGAATAAAATTCGGTCACAATCGAATATAATTTTCGAACTTATTTTAAATGTAGTTTGCTTTCTATGGAAAATCTTCAGATCACATCAGAAATGATCTGATTAAGACATCATTGAGAACGCGTTAACTTATCTTTAGTGTAAAACTGAAAAGGAGAATAGTTTCGTTTAGGGGTAGAATTGCATTAGCCGAGATTGAAAGGACAATAAAAGGCCTATTATCGTTTGAAGTTTTGATTGTCTCTCAGGAAAAGTCTTGTCCCCAATTTGCTTCCATTAATAACTCAAGAATAACTGAGATAGAGACTGACGCGGAGCGATATTAATGATTAAGACGCCCGTTCATTATGATATACATACTGCACATACTGCAGATAATATATAAGCAAGAAATGTTGGCTTTTGTGACAATTTTTAATCAAAAATCTTAACGTCTTTTTCGTTGATTTGTCTGTCTGTTAAAATCACGTCTGGACAAGCAAACACATACATTTATGATTAAATTGCAAAATAATATGCGTATATTGCGGATCTCTTCTTCTTTTCTTCGTGCCAAGTGAAAAGTCTGGTATTTCCTGCTGCAGTTTTCGATACGCTGTCTACAAATGGTATGAGAAAACCTAAATTAATAAATACGTCGCAGTTAGATTTTCCCGCATACTTGCCAAACGCCAACAATCATACATATATATATATATATTTTTTCTTGTTATTAACAGTTGATTCGTTGCATATATGAAGTTCGCTTAAGAAACAAGTTACGCGACAGTTCTTTCAAAATAATTTTATGAATAATTTTTAATTTACATCCTAAATTGTCAATTTTATTTAGTTGATGTCTTTTTTCTTTGTTAACTGGAATGTGTGTATATCGAAATCTACATAAAGATTTATAGATAATCAAAATGTCTTATATTTGAATATATATATATATGTGTATTTATGTATGAAGACATATTCATTCTATGGCTTTAATAAGACTTAAATTATGACTAAGCTACGCAAGACTACAAAAATGTATGTGTGTATGATAGGAACTAAACTTATTTACGTATGCTTCTCAGGGTTAAGTACGAAACTCTATTTGGATTAACGAGAATGAGCAACTTGAACTTGGCTTAATATTAATGTTCCTGTTAGTTAGTTAAGCCTGCAATTGTGAACATTTCTATATATGGTTATTGGTTGTATTGGTTGTGCGTTCAAGTCTGCGTGCGAAGCCAAGATACGGAGAGAGAGAGAGAGAGAGAGAGAGGAAAAGAGCTCAACCCGTCTTATAAATACAGTTAATAACTTGTGCTCATCCCATCCGTTATATAGAATCTGGATTTCCCAAACTTTGTCATACGGCATGGCATGTGACTAATATGATCAGTTAAAGATTTCTTTAGCACTTCATTCACTTTCATAATATGTACATTAATTAATTGTTAGGAAAATGTTTTGATCTATCGATCAATCGTTAAATATGTTGCGATTAACTCGTAAATTTTCCTGCCAAGCCTGGCTATTATTGAAATGAAACGGACGACTGATGTAATGTCGGAACATATCTTTCGTCTTAATTGACTTCCATCGGAATGAAATACGAGCTTCACAACTTCACTCGGTAATACAATTTGTTTGCCGTTTAACTTACATTACTTACATTAATATCGATGGTATAGAGCATTTAAACAGATCGCACACGTTGAGAAGTCATGATATAGATGACGATGCTTGTTTTAACCACGTTTATTGCTCTTCTGATCACGTCACAATGAATTATTTTAAATGCGATTGTGTGCGTATGTTTAGCATTTTCGGCATAATTTTTTTTTATTTTTTTACTCTTTTAACTTAGCTGTCTGCAGATCGCTTGTACGCAGAGGCAATGTTTATATTGCAAAGCTTGCCGCAGATCATCTTCAGTTCTCATTGATCGATCCAGACGGTGCGGTCTCAAATAAAGAAAAACAAAAAGTTTTTCTCCTATCTTCTTTTGTTTGCTTGCTATTTGTTTATCATCTTTTCAAAAGGATAACATTGTTAAAAAACCCAATAAAGTAGTAAAAAAAAAAAAAGTATCATTTATACGTACATTTGGATGGACAGTGTGAAAAAACCAAAAATTGTAATTTGAATTATCTGAGTTTTTCAAAAGAAAATTGCAAGAACCCTACAAAATATATATATACATATATACATATATATATATATATATATATACATATTCGTATACATATTTATATATACATATATATAGAATATAATAAACGAAACATTAAACAACAATACATACAGAATACATCGAGCCAATGAAAATGGCGCGTGCACTGTTTTGCATGGTAAGTTGATCAACTTAAATAAGGAATCAGTTCATGAATTCAAAGTACCGTCGTTTATACATATTTCTAAATATATACATATATATGTATAGATTTATTTTTCATTGTTCGGCAATTCTCCCAGTAATTTTCTGAACCTTCACAATATTCGGGATCTTGAACAGCGGGAGCTTAGTGCACTGTTAGAACAGTTCTTGTTTTTTTTTTTTTTTCTTTATAAAGGAATTCCGAGAGGAAAAATCTAAAATAATATATAAAGTAATGCGGATTCAAAGCTTAACTAAGCTCGTCATTGATTATATTTTTATCTCATGGCCAATGGCGCGAGGAAAGCCATGTTTTGCTAGAAAAAGAAAACCATTCCGACTTTTAACTGATTCTCAAAGTACAGATCATGAAGCATGATTTTCAGTCAAACTTCAGAATTTTTCTTTTGCCTTCAAAATTTTTTCAAAATTAGTACTACATGTCCTGATATAAGTAATTCAAGTAATTAAATTTCGTTCCAGTTTATTATAGAACTGTAATCGTTAAAATATGTTTACCTTTCGATTAATTAAATCCATACAGCAAGACATACAGATGGTAACTGATGAAACTGGGTCAAGCATTTCGATCACATTTTAAGAATAATTTTATCCTCAAAGGCAGCGGGATGTATAACGGTTTTTACAAAGTATCAATAACTGCAACAAGCAGTCTTTAATTATAATTAGGTATAATTAATTTATGATGATATTCAATTTATAAATTTTAACAACTCAGAGATTCGTGCTTAAGAGATTTCTCAAGATTAAAGGAGTATGTATGAGTTTCGAATCTTCGGATACGTGGGATAAAAACGAATCATGTTTATTAGGACACAAAATTATCATACGGATCAGGTGAAGGAGATTTCATCGAAGAATTACACCCACTCGTTTAACCCTGTATACTTTAGATCGCTCTACTCTATCGGAATACTTGGATGTCTCCTTGATCCCATTTACAATGTACACTCGTTATGTTGTACTTAAGGCATGCACCAAATTTTGCGCGAAAATTAGGATCAATCTTAGACTAATCTTAAAATATATAAAACATTTTTTGTCATAGTTTCTCAAAACAAAATAGAGACATGGCCTTGTCATCCCGTATATTATGGAAAATTATATTTTTGGACCATTTAAAAGCTCAGTCTTCCCTTAGCCACATTTTTTTATATCATTGTTGGATGGTCTAGGGAGTCTTTAGGTGAATAATAATGCGATAAAAAAATAAAAGGAAAAAAGATCATAGGGTGATATAAACCTCTAGCATAAATGTGAAGTTCGATTGAAGAATGTGCTTGTTCACGTGCTCGCTTTTGTTCCTACAGCATTATTTTCAATATAAGGAGGTCCGTTTCTTAGGCGTAGAAAAATACTTTTGCAGATACTTAATTAGCATACATATATATATATATATAGAACTCTAATATAAGCAGCGTCCAGTGCTACCTATAAATTTCGATGATCGCATACAGCCTTTCAATTGCTGTTACTTGAAAGCCATCTCATGTCATATATTTTTCTACTTCTTGATACATATCCTTCTCTGTCCAGAAAGGACTTTGCGCTCTTGATCGGGATTAATTTAAAGAAACACATTCAATTCCTTTTCAGTGATGTTAGCTTCTTTACTTTAGTTCGATTGGTGGAAAGTGAAGTTTTGCTCTTTCACGATCGAAAAATGGATTACGTCATAAATATCATGCGATTAGGAATAAAAATTTAATTCTATATTCAAACTTCTTAGAGTAAGTAGTTTTTTATTTGTTTTTAAATTCATTGGTGTGACGACTAAAGCAACTTGTTCGAGAAAGTCGGCTTTATCTTATTCATTCATTTACTTTTTTGCTCCAAATTTATTATGACACGTTATCGCTATCAAAGCAACCTAGTACTATTTAACACAGGGCTTTCTCGAAAGTGATCGATCTTTTGGTCCTTTTTTTCTGGGATTAGTATTCTTAGAAATTCCATAATTTCAACAATATTTCTCTTTATAAACGAAAAGTTCGGGCGAAGGTCAAAGTATTTGTATTGTTATCATCTTCAGAAAATTTAATAAATTCGGGTTTAATGTTCGATATTATTGTAGGTAAAAATTAGCATTATTTTTATTGAAACGCTTCGCTGCTACTTTCCAAAGTTTGTCGTCCCGCTTGCAAATGGCTGTGGACAGCCGTCAGAGACTCAATAGCAAGTTTACATTTAATTAGAATAATGTTATCAATTGCTTGAATCGGATTTTGGATGACCTCAGGTGGATGGCAAAAATTTAGATAAAAATCTAACACTCTTCAGTACATATAATATGGTCGCTCGGGATGATCGCAAATCAATTTTCATAATTTTATTTATAATAAATTTGCGATCTTCAATAGATATCGATTTGAGAAGCTTGCTACATATGCTTTTGCAGAGACTGGTGTAAAAATGCACCAGTCAACCGTTACGCACACAATTAAAGAAATATTTTGAGGTATTTATGTGATGACTTTAGATGCGAGCTAACAAATATTCGCTTCAAGGCGAGTATAATTTTTTTACTTGCTTTCTGATTAACTTGAATAAAGCAACGGGTAGTTGTTGTAAGCTTTTCAACCTTGAGGGATGTCAATTATTTCAAGTAATTGATTTGAATGAAAGATTAAGACAAGATTCTTAATATGGAAAATTCCATCTATTTGGGAATTTCTTTTACATTAATTGCAGGCCTACCGGCCTGTCTGTGTCGCCTAAGTCTGCGTTTACATAATATTAACCTTGGCGAGTGCCACTCACTAACTATGAATAACTGACTTAAATTAAATATACAACAGCAAAACAACAACACCACTGCCTTTAACAATTGCGGCGACAGCCAAAAAAAAAAAAAAAGTGAAAAAAAAAAAGAGTTGGTAAATAATAATTATATATTTTACTTAAAACTCAGTTGCATACTTACATAGATAATGTGTATACAAATGATGAACGTTTGCGTGTATGTAAGGGCGTTTATATGAACATTTCTTAGTTTCCTATAAGTGCGTACATATGTGCATAAAATTGAAATTTCCTGAGGAACCGGTTTAGAGCCTTCTTCTTCTCTAAAACAACTCTTTGCAACTGATGACCGAGTGTCCTTCAAGCAAACATAAAAATTTTAATAGGCATATAAATAAGATTTTTACAAAGTAGGTTAACAGACTTGGTAGCTGTTATTTTTACATTTATGTAAAATAATTACCAAGAAATCTAACAATTAAATGCTAATTTGCGATACAAAATATTTTCTTGTTGAAAACTCTGTCTGACATAAATGTAAATAAATCTTCAAATATATCGTCAAGAAGTTGTTTGATAGCGAGTCGAGCTAATAATTATAACTTGATTGCTGCCGACGACTATTGCCCTTGTTACTATCTGTAAGCGACTTATTTAGCAATATATTTTTTTTCAATAGAGCGATTTAATTTACATATCTACCGTTCAGGGAAGAAACTGCATTAATTTCAGCAGACTCCTTTTAAAGGGTGCCACTACTGAAACAGCCTGGAAAGGAAAGATATGTTTTGTTTATTTTTTTTGAGTATATTTGAAGAGATTATTAAGCACACCGTTAAATATTAGAGAAGAAGTTATTGTGAGGCACTCTTCTATTGACAAGAACAAGTGAGAATATTACCGTCAGGCAAGACCGGCTGTTAGACATCCTAAATAACTTTACCTTTCTCATTTGTTTTGATAATCATACATCAACAATTACACATTATTTTCATGTAAAGGCATACTTTCCCTGAGAACCCGTATATTGGAGGATGCCCAAACATCACTTGGCATGGTCCAAATTTAATAAACTCGATTGAATAACGAAAAATTTTATTATTTTTTAGTTTCCGTCATAGAGAGCTAGAAATTCGAATTTTTTGCTTTTCGCCATAAACCTTGTATGGTAAACCTTGTAGGGTCCAAGAAATAGATCTGTATCATTCAAATTGCTTATCGTTGATTTTTTTGCAAACTGCTTCTAACGACCACCTTTCATATAAAACTAAACTATCAAACTAAAAATTAAAGTTTCTTCATGAGAAATCTCAAGCGAAATGGGTTCCAAGAAATAGACTCATATGGTTCAAATTTGGTCCACTTAATATTTATGTCAAATTTTTATTATGAACAAATTTTCACCACAAGACATTAACAATTAGGTCTTTTCGCATATAAGGATTTACATTTTCTCAGAATCCTTGCATGCGATGATATTCAGAACATAGACCTAAATGGTCCATAAGTTGATTTTTTTGTCAATTTACAATTACGAAGCAATTTCCATCATCAAATATCGAAAATCACAACTAGAAACGGTTACGTAAAAGGGGGCTGTAAAAAATCATCCCAGCCGAAAAGTTTTATGGAAGCACGTCAGTGTGCAAAATTTCATCAACACATTTCAAATATTGCGACCTGCGTGCCGAACATAAGAATACAGGCAAAGACATCAGACAGACGGACGGACCGAAAATGATTCTGAATCGATCGATATAATGAAAGGTTTAATCTTAAGTCTTTGTGAGTGTTATATACGTCTGCACAAACTTAGTATACCCTGTGTCGCAAACGGTGTAGGATATACATATTTTTAAAGTAACTTATCGCAAATTTTGAAGAATGTTGTTGTAATGTAAAAATTCGTAAGAAAAAAGTGAAAATTGAAGTACTTGCGTGTGGCGGTCTGGAAAATCGATTTTCGTGAAAAACGCGTTTAATCTTTTCATATACATGTTATTGGCATTGGTTTTTTTGTTACAACAAATTTGTTACTCTACTTTTTTTTGTTAACTTGCGATCCGACGACCATAGAAATGTTACTGCAAGTTTAAATATTCCTGTTTGTTCTCTTTCCATGAAAATTTTACGTTTTAATTTGCCGCTTTTGCTGCATCGATCAAAGATAGGTTGACACGTTTTAACACTTTATGTTTTATGAAATGGCAG